GAAATCCTGTATGACCCAGCTATTACACTGTTATAAATACATCTCAAGGAATTTAGAACTGAGACAGAAATGAAATACGTACACTTACGTTCATAGTGGCATTATTCACAATAGCAAGATTATAAAAACAGCACAAATGCCCATTAAGGAACAAATAGATCGAGAAACTGTGATTTATTCAGTACATTTACACAATGGGATGCTATGCAGCACCAAGTAATTTTGTAAAGTACTATGTAGCTTGAGAGAGTCCAGAGAGCATTACGTTGCATGGACTAACTTAAGTCTCATAAGGACAAATACTGCAAGGGGAAATGGAGAAGAGGTTAGGAAAATGGGAAGGTGAAAAACACTAGTGTGGCAGAGTTTAATGAGTTAATTGAGAGAGGGAGTGAAGAAATAAGAAATATTCAATTAGGCCAGTATTTGGGGGTAAGTACTGCTGTTAAGCTACAACACGTGGAACCCCTTAAGTTCAAACAGATGGGAATGAGACAACTGGAGCAGCTGAAGTAAGGTGGAGTCTCCAATTCTGGAAGGGGAAAACAGGCTTCCTGGTTTCCCAGTCAGATATTTTGTGGGGATCACTGCTATGGGGCATTTGGCCCTGTGGGCATCAGGTCAAGAAGCAGTACAAATACACGGTTCCCTCATAAAACATTGCTGTACTCTGGAACAATATATAGCTAAAATGACCTAACCTGACTAAGAAAAGACTCACATAATTTCAAGAAAGCAACAATCTGCCTCAGTAATCATGATAAAACAAAATAACCCTTCTCCTAAAAAAGCAAGCCAAATAAATACCCCAGATAGATAGAACCAGGAGAGATATGTTGATGTTTAGTTATTTGAGCAGTTACAGAAGAAGATGTAAATGATGAAAGAAACAACTGAGAAAGCAAATACTCCAGAGAAAACAGTCTGGGAAAAAATATATTGTTGAGAAGCAACTTGAACAACTATGGAATAAAATGCAAAAGATAGAAGAAAGAACTGACAGTACAGATAAAGGGGTATAAGAACTCTAAAAAAGTATCACAAGGCAGAGAAAGTACAGCCAACATGGTACTGGAAATAACAGAAAAAGCATGAAGATGCAATCCGGAATATTAAAACCAAAATAGCAGAAGGGTCCAACATATTGGTAGGACAAAAAAATAGAACTGAAGAGTTGTAACAGTGAGTTGGAAGACAAGAGTCTTACTGGAAACATACTGTTGTTGTTGTTGCTGTTATGTGCCGTCGAGTCGTTTCCGACTCATAGCGACCCTATGCACAACAGCCCTAAACCCTGCTCTATCCTGCGCCAACCGCACTGCCTCTGAC